CTAAATAAACAAAACAAAGCAAAAATCTCATTCTTGCGATAAATAGCTGGCTGCGCATACAAGAGCCGAGCTCGATATGTAGCAAAACGGAATGTCTGGATGAAAATTTATTGCCCAAAGGTATAATATATATGCAAAAACGTAATAAAATTTGAATTAGTATGCATTTAAATTGGAACGCTTCGCTGCACAAATACGAATCGCTTGTCCAGCATTTCGTTTTCATTTTGTGGAAAAAGGAAGCCATTTATTTTAATTCGAAAATGGAATTTGATCTTCAAGAAAAACCATGAATTTTCATTGATATTCATTTTGCTAACTGAACTCGCGTCATTGCAATGAAATTGCAATCAACAAGCAGAAAATCATAGAGACTTTCCATTTACATACACCATGTGAATAGACGGCGTTTGAAGCCGTGTGCCTTGTACATTGTGCGTAACACACAAGGTGAAAACAATTTATGCGCCTTTGATACGAACTACAATATACACATGGATGGTCTTGTGCAGTTTTGGTGCAGCCAGTCAGTTTCTGTCGAAATTGTAGTTATCTTACGCGCCAAATCAATTCGCGAATGTCGAATTTCGCAAAATCACTTCATAACGGAACCAATTTAAAACACCAGGTCAAATTATATGATAAGACTGAATATGAATTGAATAGACCTTCAAAATACTTTCCTTTTTGTTACCACTTGAAAGTGAATTCACCAAAAGTGATACGATGATAAATGGAATGATCGCCAGCGAATATTTAATTGGTGAATGTTTTGGTTTGTTTTGATCGCAAGAACGTTCGTTTTTTCTCACTTTTACTTCATTTCACTTCACCTGTTGTATATGATCTTTATTTCATATGGGTCTAAACTAGTATAGATCGTCTTACATGTAATTCTACATAAACACACATTTAAGTACATGAACAAATCAAACAATGAATTTCACTTTTTTTCACATTTCAATATGTCACCCGAAAAATCTCCCGGTTTTCTCAATGGTAATTGTTTTGAATAGCAACAAATAATCGTAGACGCCAACGATCACGATGAGACTGTTGAAATTGGTAGAAATTGTCGGTTCACAAATTGAAATAAAAATCTGCCTGACGCACATTAGATTCGCTGAATATATGAATGGGCGCACACGCGTTCGCTGTTTGCTCATATACAAAAGATTTGGATGATATCGTTTCACGATTAAATCCAAAAAAATAAAAATGAAATTACACACACGGAATTTCGAATTTGTGCACGATTCGAATTCACATAACACATCAACAATAACAACATGTTTTTTCAAACAAATGTAGCCGATTGATGTCCATCTTGATTCACCTATGTGAATTACATGTGTTTGTCGTAGTAAAGAAACATTTCTTTCACATTTCCTTTTTCATTGTTCGTTTTGTTTATGCTTTTCTTTGAAGTGTCTCTTCGGTGACGTTCTTCATTTTCTTTTTGGACACACTCAAATGCCGGGCAATTATTTCATATTTTATTTTATTTCGATTTGATTCAATTGAAAGCATAAAAAATGCACTATTTTCTATGTGTTCTTCTTTTTCTGATTCTTGTTATTCGCTCAACAGTTTCGATTTTTTTTTCTTCTGCCAGCTCAAGAGATCTACAATGTAACAGGTCTACTCTTTAAAACCGCGTCTCAATGACTAAAAATCTACGCACAACATTTTGATCGTTATACCCGGTGTATGAGCGCAAAAAAAACTAGCAAAGAAAAATACCTTTCAAATATAAAAAAAGAGCGAACCAGAAAATGGAAATGGCAAAGAAACAGAAATGAACACACATGAAGTCAGCCAGCCAGCGAACGAAAAACGAAAAAAGAAAATTTTCAGCTCCAAACGTTTATTATATGGTTTGGTAATTTTGTAAATATACAACAAACACACACAAGCACAAACGATTCTCTTGCACTCTTGAAAACTCTTTCGGGTTGATGGGCTTGGTTTTTGTGCACATTAGTGTGACTGCGCTATTACATCTTTGTTCATTTCAACTGTTTTCGGTGTTACTTTTTTTTCTTCCTCTCTACAGCATTTACGTGCATTTTTGTTGTTGCTGTCTTGGGCAACGAGCCCGTTGATTGCAATAGACGTCGCGGCATGATTCGATGCCGTTGGAGTGGTCAGTTTCGTATTTTAAATTATTGTTCTAAATTCCACATCCAACTCCCTTCCAAATACACGATGTACTTTGACTTACGTACAATTTTTTCAATCAAAATTAAAACACGTTTAAGAAAAATTGAAATTAAACCACGAATTTTATTTTCTTCTATTACATTGCTATCAATCAACGACTGCTAGTGTCGAACGTAAATGCACGTAAATGCTGCATAATATTAAACGCACCCATTAATTTTTCATTGTTTTCCCATTAAGAATGGATGCGTTTAGTATTATGTGACTTGACACTAGCAGGACACTAGCAGTCGTAGCTATCAATGCATTTTACGAAAAGAAATTGTTAGTGCTATTCGGCGACCACTTTTATTTTGTCGCTTACATTTCGTTTGTTTTTGATTTTTTCCCCTTCAGCCATCATGCAACTTGGCATGAGTTGATCATTGTGTTAAGTGATGTGCAACGCATATATGTTGCCTGCACAGAATACACATTGTTTCAGTTGTTTATAACTTGTCTTTATTATATTTGCCTTTTTTCCACTTGCTTCTTTTCCCCAGTCAGTATCGCACTTAAATGCATCCGCAAATCCACATAATTAACCGAATGCATTCGGTACTTCATACACTTCCCATTTGAAATTTATCATTCAATTGCAATTGTATTTTTGTCTTATTAATTGAATTTATCTTGAGAATGGGAAAAACATTGAACATATCAATTACACTCTAGAAAATCTTTGTTTTTTTAAAAGTTACATTTAATTTGCTCAAAATCAGAGAGTGTATATTTGCTGCTGAGCAAGCCTGAACTGAATTTGCTGACTTGGGCATCTGAAGAGCTATTTAAACGCACCTATGATGCAAAATTGCTAGCTGGAATTCACGATGTTTATCAATTATATTAAGGTGCATTCCAGCTAGCAATGACTACTTTGCACCGTAAGTGCATTACAATACCGCTTCAGGCGCCTTAATCAGCAAATACAGCTTAGCTCAGACATGCTTATCAGCAAATATGCACTCTCTGCTCAAAATAAAAATATTCTTGGTGAAGTTCTCCACAAAAAAAAAAATTGGGCAATGTTACCGAAGATGATTTAGATTAAAATCTGTATCATTTGTCTCCAGCCACTTAATGACTTAATGGTATCATATTTTGTCCATAGGGGTATTGAAGCGACCATAAAATATATGTATTTCATCAAGTTTATCAAGCTCTTTCCAAGTTTATGCATAGTGTCGAACTTTTGTTCAAGCTCTACCATCTAAATGGACAGTAAAATAATTTACGGGTACGACGTAAGATGGCGTTTTTTCTGGTCAAAAAAGTTGCAATATCCCTTTGATTTTGTATAGCAAAAATTCGCGTTTCATAAGGAAATTTATAAATGGAACGAAGGCTACCATATGAATACATATATGACGATAGTTTTTTTAATTTGTTATTTGAATTAGTGTTGCGATTTTACTGTTCATTATTTACGTATATTGTTTGGAGATTCATAATATTGTAACATAAGCAGTGTGTTCCATTAAAAATGGGCTCAAGGCAGATCTTCTACGCATTTTAGTTGTGCACGTGATGCCATTCAACGTAGTTTCTGTACAAAAATCACGAGAAAATAAAACAATTGTGAATAAACATAATAGATCATAATTGAATACTTCTTTTAATAGCATCTATGAGGTAAACTTCCAAACACGAGGATAGATTTCGTTTGATCCTGATAGATATATTTCAAAATTCAAATATATTCACAAATGGTTTGAGACATTCCAAATGAAATTGCGTTTGGACAAAAACAGGAAGCATTGTGAACAACAATATGTCCATTAACAATTTACGTAAGTCACAGTACGACTGTCGCACTATGCTACTACGCAACATTTCACCAGAAACAAAATCATTAGAATTCATTGCATTCGTCAAATTCATCGTTAACGCTTTGAATTGGATTATGCTGGATAATAAACGAATTTCTAGCACGTGTAACGATTCACACATTTAATTTTTATTGAGTTCAAAGCCAAAGACGGAACAAAACATGAACAATTTGAAATGGTTCCTGAGTCGATCACATTAAGTGACAAAATCGTTTACTTCCGTGTGAATTCACTTTTGCAGAGAAACATAAGAAGAAAAAAAACAATTCGAAAACATATGAACGTCGTTGGCCGTCTCCGGCATCAATTGGCACACATGAATTAAGCATGGAGAATCCATAGAACGCCAATAATATCTCAAGAGTAGCAACACAAAGCAGTTTTTTCGAAGTAGTCAATTGAATGTCATGAACTGTCAAAATTTCAATATTCCACATTGATGAAATGCTAAAACGGGAATCGCTGTAAGAGGGCGATACGGATTTAAATTGTTGTTGTTTCAAATAGAAAATCGCTGACGGTCAAAGCGGACACTGTTGTTATATAATAGCTATTTAAATGGTGTAAAAAAGCAGGAACGAATGAAAGTGCGAATTTGAGTAATAGTCTCGTATATTATAACCAGTGGCGCATGTACGATGACCTCCGTCAAGTGTGACGCGAATTGGAATATGCGGGCCGAACGAGTGGCCAGGCCTCTTTTCTTTATTGTCTCTTTGCTCTCTTAAACGTGTATCCGGTCAATTGCTCTAAACAAATCTTAATCAGCATATGGACAGCATGACTTCTTTTCACGGAATTGAATAAGATTACACGCGCAATTGATGTGACTTGTGTGAAGTTGTCACTGCGAAAAATGCGGTCATCACCATGCCAGTAGTTCGATGAGATTGAATTAACCAAATGGGCTAATGGCAATTCCTTCTTTTTATAAGATGAACACGCGCAACAATATAGTCGAAATCATGTGTTTTGTCACTGGCTTCACAACAAGAACATCGTATCATGTTCGAATTGTCCAAACGCAATTGGTGAGTTTTGTGCTGATTGTAAAGTTTCTTCGTAGTTAAATCGCCCTGCACAATCATATCATTTGGATATATAATGTTATCTATTCCATAATCAAAAGTGTATTCTACAACGAAAGACCGAAGAATATTACTCACAATCCAAGAACAGTGACCGCAACACTATTTTATAGCTGAATTTTTATTTTGAGATCAAGTTGTTCTCCATTGTTTTAATTTCGTTTTTCTTTCTGCTCGGATTTTGTACCAAGTTCACAGTTTTGTTTTGTACATACGGAAAAAAAGCAATATGTTTCGAAAATTCGCTGTATCATTAAATAATTTTAGATTTGTATGCAATCCAGTCGTGTTACCGATACAAAGTCGATTCAATTCCAGTCATGTTGAGTGTAACGATACACCAAAAATTTTGATAACTGGCAAGTATTTGCATTTGTCTTACTTTAAAAAAGAGAAGAAGAAAATGTCGTGAATGATTTTGTCTGCTGCCTCTTGTGTTTATTTTAGGTGGTTTGGGTCAATTGGGGATTGAATGTGCAAAGTTATTAAGAGGAAAATACGGAGCAGATTCGGTAATTTTATCAGATATTATAAAGCCAACACGAACATTGACACAAGGTGGACCGTACATATTTGCTGATATCCTAGACTTTAAAGTAAACAAAAAGCCGCGACACTGGCGATTTTTTTTATTTTCATTTCATTGAAACTTAAAATCATTTCTCCTCTCACTATCTATCCAAACGATATCATTGAATCAATTGTGATTGAAATGCAATGTTAATATTTGCAGGGTCTTCAAAAAACCGTTGTCGATCATCGCATCGACTGGATAATCCATTTTTCGGCACTGTTGAGCGCAATTGGGGAACAAAATGTTCCGTTGGCTGTTAGGTAAGGTGTAAAATAAAATCTGAATGTCGAGTCCAATTTTCAGTACGTGTATTTAACAAATTATTCCGTTCCGCTTAAAATGTTACAAATATTATTTAGTAATGTAGTTTCATGTTCACCGGTTTGTTTTTTTGTTTGATTCGTTTTTTTTCCTCTCTCTCTCTCTCTTTTCCTCGAATTGGTGTGCATCATTGTAACACATCCAATCGGACCCAATTCGAGAATAGAGATGATTGCCATGTGTTGATTATATTTGTGCATGTGTGCGTTTGTTTACATTTCCAGAGTCAATATTGAAGGAGTACATAATGTCATTGAATTGGCCAAGCAATACAATTTACGTATATTCGTGCCGAGTACGATTGGTGCATTTGGGCCAGACAGCCCTCGGAATCCAACGCCTAATATTACTGTAACGTCATTTTGCATTTTTTTTCTTCTTTGTACTCTTTGTGCATCTCTTGATCACGTCTTCCTTTGAATTACACGGTAGCACGTTTTTTTTTCTCTTTCTCGCTCTCGCTTCCGCTCTCTCTCTTCCCTGATCCTTTCTAATTCTCCCACCACTTTTTCCAGGCTCTTCGAAAAACAACCATATATTCGTTTAGCTTTCAATTTTCATTTCGAATGAACGTTCGCATTGCACACACATTTGTTTTCATATCGTTATGTGCGTTTGTTGCAGATCCAACGACCACGAACCATATACGGTGTAAGCAAGGTACACGCTGAGCTAATTGGCGAATATTATCATCACAAATTTGGCTTGGATTTTCGTTGCTTACGCTTTCCAGGTGTTATCAGTAGCGATCCTCCGGGTGGAGGAACGACTGGTGAGTATTTTACTAAACACACACACACACCACCGTCGCTGCTGCTGAATTAAATTGTTGCAGTTGTGGACACAGGTCCCAATGAGAATTTGACGAATTGGGAAACCAAAATGAATGGGAAAAAATCGCAAACATTTTTCACAAACGAACACTTTTCTCTCTCTCCATCACACCCATTTCGTTTAGACTATGCCGTTGCAATATTTCATGAGGCGCTTCGCAATGGACACTATCAATGTTACTTGAAACCTAACACTCGTCTGCCAATGATGTACATCGAAGATTGCCTACGGTAAGTTTGGAGTATGAGAATGGCCATGGATACATAGAGTTAGAGCAAAAAAAAAACATATACGAAAAAAATCTGGCGCAATTAGCAGAAATGAAGGAATCTAGGCCAATGCATGGTTAAATCCAATTCAATTGATTTACTTCATTTTCCAGCTCCTTCTTGGAATTTATGACTGCACCGAATGAATGTTTGCAACGTCGAGTGTACAATGTTACAGCTATGTCATTCACGCCCGAAGAATTGGTGGAAAAACTCTATAAGTACGTACCTGAATTACGAGTAACATATAAACCTGACAGCCGGCAAAACATCGGTATGCATACAAAATTGATTTTTCATAATTTACGGAGAGAAATCATTAAAAAAAATTTTTTTAGCCGACTCATGGCCTCAAGTCTTTGATGATTCAGATGCTCGTCGCGATTGGAATTGGTGTCCAAAGGTGAATTGAGTCAAGCTCATTGCCACATTTTTTAAATCAAAATAATAACGAATTTTAAGAAAATTTCTATTTTCTTTTTTTTTTTGCAAACCAAAGTATGATTTAGACAAGCTGGTCGACCAAATGGTTAAAGATGTTACGAAAAACTACACGAGTAGAGATGAAAATGGAGGCAAATCCAGGGGTTAGACACCAGTTTCTAGCATAGCTAGTTTGTTCAAATCGGTTCAAATATGCGTTCAATTTCTTCTAGTTTTTCTAGTATACAAGCAGAATTTTAAATATTCTGCTAGTATTTCTAGTATCTACCATTGCTTCTTCCATAAGTATAGTATTGCCAATGCATTTCTTATGGAAGGATTAACGGGACTTTTTATAAACAAAACATTTGAACTCCATAAGCAAAGCATTGGCAATATATTTTAAATGGAAGAATTTGTCCATATAAAAACCACTGGCAATGCTATTCTTATGGAAGAGAGATCACTCAATTTTTTTTCACAAATATTCTTCTATTAACTTCTAGTATGCTCAATTTTTGCTAGTTTTCTTCTAGTGTTATTTCGTGTCTACCCCCTAGAGGCAAATGATTGTGCAATAGACACAAATTGCATGAGGTTTTGAAAATGCTAACTCAAATTGTCCAAAAAAAATGTCTTAGGCCTAAAAGAACATATCTGTCGATATCTCCATCAAACTTGGAAAGATAACCATAAAAACGTCAAAATGTGCCAGCACCAAGTGTTATTGTATTGAGCTGAAAAGGCACATCACAGACATGCTTTTTTGAACCCGAAAAAAAACGTCTTGGGAGTTAGCATTTTTGAAACTTCATGCAATTTAAGCCAGTCTATTTTGCAAGCTATAAATGCTGACAAAATTAGTAAAATCATGAACCGTTTTTTTTCTCCTATATTTGAATTGTTAAAAAAACATGAACTTATCATCTTTCTGAATGAAAAAAGTGTTGCAATTACTTTCAAAAATACGTGTTTTTGTAATGCATTATTATTTAATATTCACTCATGACAATGCCATTATAGTGAGCGCGTGTATTATTCATCGAGTGAATGAGTGAGAGAAAGAGAGGGGAGAGTGCGCCTACACTGAATCAGAGACTCGTATTTATTCAGATGTTTCTTTTATAATTTACGTAAATGTATGTGCCATATCACTGAATTTGCACAACACAATTCAATGGATTCAGATTTCTGATTATTTTATAATCAGACATATCATGACTTTGTGAGGCCACATTGGCACAGACATCAATGAAAAATTGTCTTACATAAACTAAATCATGCCACAAAGAGGGTAATTCACGACATTTTTTTCTTCATTTCTGAAACAACCGTCACAAAGAGACTGTTGGTAAACGAAAAGTAATCGAAACTGTTCCTTGAATTACTTTAATTATTGACCGAAATACAAATATTCAGAGAGGACACGGCAAAAGCGTAATCTCTCAGCAACACTAAAATTGAAACGGTATGTTTTTGTGCAGCCCACAACTAATTTTTAAAGTGCAGACGGTGAAAACCACTAGGAATGACGTTGAGGACCTAACGAGGATCGCTGCATGGAATGAGAACGAGTGTGCGTGTGAGTAAGAGAGAGAGAGAGAGAGAGAGGAATAGAGGGAGAAAGAGAGAAAGCGATAGAACGGAACTATTGACATTGCAATTGTAAATAAAACGATACAAAACTTTCGTTGTCTTATGTATTTAATAAATCTTAGAGTGGCTGGCTTTGTTGTACTTGGTGATTTGGTATTTAGATTTTATCCATTAAAATGGTTTGAGCCATTTTTGGGATCGAATGATAACCGCTTCAACATACAGATTTTCAATCCCTCGCCAAACGAATGCGAGAGAGTGAGAGAGAGAACAAAAAGCGGTTTGATTCGGTGTTTCAAATTCACGCGGATATTTCTGTATTGTACATTCCAACAAGGTGTCTGCACGAGTTTTGTTCTCGTCTTTTGCTTCGATGTGTATTCATCATCACCGTCGCTGTTCATCGTCGTCTTTGTCGTCATTGTCGTTGTCATTGTCTCTATACCAAAATTGGTTCGGGTGTTCATTTTTCCAAACAAGTTCATCAAAACACCGAATACACCGGATTTTCATATTTATTCGAACGTCCTGAACAGCTCTCCGGGTTAACATATTGAATTTGGATTTTGGTATTCCGTTCTCATTGGAATGCATGTGTATAGATTCAATTGATAAATTGTACATCATGAATGCTTAATTTACTTTTGCTCAACGAGTGTTTGTATGCGCTGCTCTTCGGGAGCAAATACCGTAGCAAGCAAATGATTGACATTAAAAAGTTACTGGCTGCTCTCTATCTCTCACTCACGGTGTATAATGTATATGTATGTACGTATGTATAAAAGCTTGTTCGTTTTTTCCTCTGTTTCTCTCCGTTTACAGTTCGTATAAACGAGAGTAGATTGAAAGTTTAGTATTTCAATTTTCCACCAACGAATGTCAATTTGTCGAACGCCATATCGTCGATGGCTGACGTCCATGCCTATAGCTGCACAGTTAATAATATATTATTAATAATTATTAATACTATATTACTAACTAGGCAGTATTAACAGCTGATACGTTATTAACATCGCCTGTTAATATCGCTATTACTTACTAGTTAATAACAGTTAATACCGGTATTATCATACTAATATATTATTAACATGCGATGTTAATACCGATAGTATGATCATACTATATTATTATGATCTTCATGAGAATATTTTATTAACATCCATGTTAATAATTATTAAAATTTCCAGGCCGCGCTAGCGTCCTATCTAAATACATTATAATGAATAAGTACAAACTAATACATATGCATTTCGCTATGAATGCGTTTCATGTTATGTGTTTTGATTTCATTTAATTTTGGAAATTGAAAAAAAAAACTTCTCGACAAAATATATTTTAAAACATCATTGCAATAAAAAAAAACTTCCAAGTAAGAATGAATATATTGATATTGAGTAAGAAAATTCGGTGAAATCGGTGAAATACTTGAATCAAACATAAACGTTTGAAAAACGTACGACGCGCGCCAAAGCATAAGTGATGTCAAAGTGTATACAAAGAGTGAAGCAATAGTGCGTTTAATGCTATGTGCTATAGTGTCTCTGTTGATGTTGATCGCTGACGTTTATAGTGGTAGAAAATTTCTGATGATATTTGAATGTCCGAGAATGAAAACGCAACTTCTATTCACAACACATATAAGTGAAACAAAAATAAAAAATTTATTGAAATGAAACAACACAATCGAATTTTTTCAAAGTGTAACAACAAAAAAGATTTTTTTAAAGTGTAACATCGTTATGTTGTTACACTTACTACATACCGATGTTACACTTTAAAAAAATCTTTTTTGTTGTTACACTTTGA